CAACAGGTACAATTTGAGTCAATTTTTAGTTTTTACTCAAACAATTTTGCCATTTTTGTCCCAATCTTCTGAAGGAAAGTGCAGACTATAAACAGGACTATTTTGTGCATTTGTGATAAAAAGAGAGAACTGGTGGTGAGAAGGATAAAGGCAAACAAAGCCAAAATCATACATATTAATTTCCTATATCTCAACATTTCATGTTGTTTTTGTTGGTCATAGGATGGTGAAGCACAGATTTGAAAACCAAGAAATTAACTTTAATATGCTTATCTGGTTTAAACCGAGAGATCAAATACAAACATCTATGACCAAAACTTCAAAGTTAAAAATATTGACTCACGATACCCATCGAGACTGTAGAAATGTACATTTTCAAATTTTTAGTGCGCTGGAAATTGTTCCGCTTTCTCGTTTGCTTTACTTCCATGCATTGTATTACCTAACATCGTTTTGTTGGCCCCCTTCCCGCTTTAATAAGTACAATTGCTTCTTCCTTGAATTCTCTGAGAAATTAAAATGTATGAAAGTAGGAAACATTACCATGGAAACTGTGAAACTATGACTACCTTAATTTATACATCATCAGTTAGTGCCTTGACAGGAAGTGGTGAGCTTGGTTGCCATAGTGACAATGTGTGGCATGTTCTTGTCTTTTAATGTGTTATAGTGATTAACACATGAGAATAAATTGCACTAGGGATCAACCAGTTAGTTTGAGGGGGGGGATTTTATGGTTTATGTTCTTTGTATGCAGACATTTTGTGACTTGTTCAAATAATACTATCATTGATTGAAGGGAGGTGGTTGTCAAGCCTAGTCTGTTCAATATTAGACTCGCAGCGACGTACTTTATGCATGTCAAATATATTTACCTTAGCAGTGACAGTATTTTGTGTCAAAATTTGTCTACAATTATTCGTTTTAGTATTAGTCAACTTTTTGGGTTCACTGTCAATCTGATTTTTGAGAAAAACGATAAAATAATACGAATAGAATGCAGTTTAGCAGCGGTTTGCATGGACCACCATGAAAAAAACACATTTCCTCGTTAAAGAACCCACTAAAAATATTGTCTAGACATCAAAAAACTACTGTAAAAGGATTAATTATTCACTGGATTTTAATTTTGCTTATTTCGCTGACTGGAAAAATGCGTTAAATTAAAACCCAGTGAATATGTAAAACTTAGCATAGAACACATTATCTAAATGATAAAACCGTGAATTTAAAACCCACTGAATATGTAAAATTGAGCATAGAACACATTATCTAAATGATAGAACCGTGAATTTAAAAATGGTAAAGCAGCGAAATTTAAACCCAGTGAAAATTAGTCATTTTACAGTATATTATAAGGAACCACATTATCTTTTTCTCATTACTGAAAAAATTTTCAGATATTACTAACAAATCATCATCAGTTTAGTTACTGTACTTATTACATTTTCTTCACTATAAAAATAGAACGCTACACAAAAGCTATAAAAAATTTTTTTATATCATATTACAAGAATTATTAAAATGATATAAAAATATGCGGTCACATACTCTGTTCAGAGAAAATCGATCAATAAAATACAGTCAAATTAGTTTTATCTATTTTAGGGCATTTTACCATTTTTCCTATGACCAGGATATATCTTAGCATTTATGCAAATTAATACCATATATTGAATGAATGTCCTTGATGTTTTGTATTGGAATTTACGTATTCATGAACTTG